CTGTTTAGCTAAAATGTTCACTATGCAGGATATTACGGCCTTCGTGGCTGAGATGTTTGCAATGCAGGATCTGCCTGATGCCAGTCCAGCATTCAGTCTGGTTTCGGAGTGTCTCTTTGTCTCTCTCTTTGTCTCCTTCTGTGTATTCTTGATATATATGAATCGCAGTCAGGTATCTCCTCCCCGTGAACCGAACCCCTATGTCGAGGCAGGTCCCCGACAGGTTTCTGAGGAGGGGATGGTGGGTATGAATTGCCAACCTTGTAGTTAGCAGTCCAATGCTTTCCTACAGTGCCACCCCAGAACTTTAAAATTAAGAAGTAGAGAAATATAAAAATGTTAATTGATAGCCACAATCCTTCCTAGAGGACAAAATGGCAATTCTAGATCGAATCCATGACAGGTTATGAGTCCTAAACTAGTCAGAGATGTAAAACATTTGTCAGACTAAATTTAATCAGGTTGTTGTCCTCAAAAGGGGATTACAGGTAGCCACTGATGGATCACACATCCAAGGTTGTGTGCATTTTGGTCCTAGGTGCCTTCAAGTTGATCAGTTATATGGCTTGTGGGCACCTATCTGTAGGATTACAATCCTCTCTTTGATGCTAGTTGCTAGTAGTTATGTGTCCCACCATTCTCCCAAGCCCCCACATGATGCTCCATTTACAGTCTATTATAGCATGACCTACGTTCACCTATTACTTTGATCTTCTTATTGTTCCAGAGAAGCTAGAAATAGATACGCATATAAACAGAAGAAGGTGTGCGTAATTATTTTCAAGGGTAACCTAGAAATATAAGAATAACATGTAAATAGCCAATCAAAATACCTTTCAATTCGCCTCTTGTTTTCTTCCATTTTTTGATTTGCTATATTTAACAGGAAGTCGATATATTCCTCTGTCACCATCAGTTTTCCCTTGCGGCTTAATGGAACTTCTAAACTATGTGTACTCCGGACAGCCTACAAAGAAAAAACAGTTTAGACATGAAGACTTATATACTAAAGTCACCAAAGGCAACTAAAGAAAAGTTCCACTTAGGGCTGTGCTTGAACACAGTTTAGCTCCATTATAGCATTCATGTTTGTGCTTTGACATAATTTAGCTGAACATAGTTGAATCAAAGGAGATTAAATAGATTTTCCCATCATATAAAGTCATTGCTAAAAAAAGGCACATTACCTTTCTACACATTGCCTATCAGAGAAGTAGATAAAATCAAAGAACTCAATAACTTTAACAGCTTCAATCTTAGTGTGACTTAAAAAGCTTTAATGCACAACTTAAAGTGAAGAAATAAATGACATCTCAACAGAAGTCACAATGGAAAATCAAACTGACAAAGAATCTCTTAGTGCTGCAAGAGGGCTACAAGCTTTACAACAATAAACCACACCTCCCTAGTGCCTGCATCCTGGATACTTTAGGGGTGTCAAACTTTGATGTAACAGCTAACATGTTCCAAGTAGATCTAAATACTGGATAAAGGTTAACAACAACAAAAACTACTTAACTTTGCAAATATCAGACAAATTTTAAACAAATGGTGGGCTGGATTTAGTCCTATAGTAAATGGTCTGCTGATATACCTAAAGAAATTCAGGCACTGAAGAACTAAGGGACATATCCCAGTACACAATATAGTTGTGATCTAGCGTACCAGAGTAGAAGTCTTTCAACTCCCTCCCTGTCTTACCATTTTATCACAGGGTCTGGACTGGGCTGTGACTACTTAGGTGAAGGAGGAGGACACAGCAGAGAATGAGGCAGATACACTCAAGAGCTAGCATTTAGGATCAGTCAGGTTAAAAGTGGAGGGAGTACTGTGCAATAAGATCTCAAGTATAAATCTAACAGCCCTGAACCTTGCCCTGTAAGAAAGACTAAGTCACTGAGAGTTTTGAGCAAAGGAATGGCAAGAAGATTTGAGTAGTGAGTCAGAAAAGGCTAAAAGCGGAGTCTGGTTAGAAGTCTCATTTGGAAGTTATTCTAATCTGGATTTTTGCCAAAAGGTTCCTTACCAACATTGTCTTTCCTTTCCTTCCCACCGTTATGCCAGAGTTCCTGAAACCAGAATCTATTGCTGCTGAATGCTGTAAGAAAAGAAAACTTGTTAAATTCTGATAGTCTGGCTAGTCAGATAATCTATTTAGCTCCACAAAGTGCAGAAACAGAACTCTAAAACTTAGTTGTATATTTCTACTAATATACACTGTGCATAAACAGTACTTTAAATATGTATTCCTTCTGGAAACAGTACAACTATAATGCAAGAAAATGCAGAGATCTGCCTAATAATTGTTTCTATAATGCAGAAAGTCACCATATAATCATCACTCCTGAAACAGTACTGCTTGTATGAAGAAAAACCAAAAAAGAACAAAATATACAAAAAGCCACCACTTAAAGAGAGTGAAATGTCCTTCTGTAAAAGTGAATCCTGACTCATAGTAGGCCTTAGTTTTACAATAGTAATAGTAAGCAGGCACACGAGGGTGCAGCGGTTCAACAATGCTTAAATACATGCTACCCAATTCTTATTCTTCAACTTGTATCTCTTTAAATTTTATCTCCTCAAAGAGGCCTCCGCTATACACCCTTTTAAAATGTTCCCCTTTTCCTTCCTCTCTAAAATAGTGTCTTCTTATCTACTCCATTGCACTTATTATGTGAGAAACATTGGTTTTCCAACTTATTGTTAGTTTCTCTCATGTAGAATACAAGGGGTCTTCAAATAGTTCATGGAAAGCTCTATTATCTTTTTAAAAAAATGTTTTATTATGAATTATGTGATCGTTTACACGGAGAACATTAGTTTTACATTCATCCTATTGTATATCGTTTCATTGCCATGGTTACAATTCCCTCCATGCATCATCAACCAACCAAAGGTTATACCCTGTAAGCCTGTCCCCCCTGCCCGGTCATCAGCACACAGCCCCTCTCCCTCTCTGTGTCTAAAGTCCCCAGCTGCTCCATCTCTCCACATCACGTCTCTGCCTCCATCTCTGGCATCACTGCTTCTCTGGTTAGGGTCCCGCTCTCCGCTCTTCTCCCTTGATGGTCCCAGGGACCTCTGCTCCTAGACTGCAAAGTTAATCACTCCCCTCCTAACTACAAAACGTCTGCCTTTACATTTCCAACCCTCACAATCAGTCCTGATAACAATTATTCTATTGTATCACAAGAGACCTATCCTCATTTCCTTTCATCAGCCCCACCTAGACAGATTGGATACTACTAGTGGAGATTCTACCTTGCTCCATGCCCTCTGAATCTAGGTTCCTTCTTGAAAGCTTGTAAGCCCAGCATGACATCCTTCTCCAGCGACTGTTCTCTCCGGACAATGTGTCCAAAGTATGACAGACGAAGCCTAGCCATCTTGGCCTCCAAGAAGCACTCTTATTGCACTTCTTCCAAAACAGATCTATTGGTTC